TATATATAATAACTACTATATATATATATATATATATATATATATATATATATTAATATTACATTAGAGTAGTCTAACTGAAATCAAAAATGGATAAAAATATACATTCTTGACTTTGGTCCGTCATATTTTATTTTCTGACGACAATAAGCTCCATCAGCTCCGTCGGATCCATCGTAATTGAAAACTTGATTGAAGAACTGAGTACACACTATTAAAGAGTTTTGGCAAACCTACTTCAACGTCGTTTATTTTACCAAATCCTACAAAACCAGTCATATGATGACAATTTTGAATTGACGCTGGTGTCGACCGACACAATGGTTCATATTTGTTTCATATTTATGTGTTTTTCAAATGGAGTTATACATTCACACTATGGAATCGAATTTGGGGCAAACATACTTGAAATGTTGTCCTTGTCCCGGATCCTGCAAGACCAGTCAAGAAAACGTTCTGACCATCCTTAGCTGAAATAGCCACTGTTCTATGATCGATACTTAGTTTCATTACTATTTAGATGTACTTATGAATACACTACGTCGTACGATAATAACGCTTCTAATTGATGCTTCTGATAGCATATATACAGCAAATAGAAAAGATCAACCGTTCCCTTGAACGTCTCTTAACCTTACTATAGCATTTTAGGTCTCCTTAGGTCGTATGACCCTACTCCTACAATTTGGGTCTGAAATGTCGCGGATTTCTTAGGATTTCCCAAATCAGCATCAACCTTCCTGAAACACAAGAGCAATCCATTCTAGCTATATACATAAATAGCAGGTTATGCAAGTTCGAGGAATTAGGAGGGTTTAGGGTTGCCCGTGAGACCTCGATTTGATTGGGAGTTTCTGCCGAAAATTTCTGGGAATTTTACGGTGACTCTCTGGGAAATTAATTTCCCAAACTACATTTTTTTTAAAATTACAAAAAAAACAAAAAAAACACTAGCGTATTTCAAATACATTAACACCCCCCACTGCCCCAGCGGCCAGCGGCCAGCATGTCATCCGTCAATATCGTCATAGGTCAACGGTCAGTCATAGTTACCAGTAACCAGACTTACTTAAATATACAGATCTATATAGTAGCAGAATTCTTTTTTAAATTTGCGCTCAGAGGATAGGTCAAGTTTAAACAGTTTCTTTATATCATTGGTTGTTCAAGCTTGTGATGCGTCATGACCCATCAGACGCGGTGTCTCGGACTCAGACTCAGACTCAGAGTGATGATCAGAAGAAGCTAGAGGCATTGGACAGCCCTGGCCAGCGGCCGATAGGACTGGGCGCTGGTCCTGGGCCTGAGCCCTGAAGTCCTGAACGGGCTGAACTTCCCGCTTTCTGCATACTTCTCAGAATTCTGTGTCCCAGACTCCCAGTTCTCAAGTTCGCATTTCCCACAGTACCAGCGCCCAGGGCCCAGCGGCCCACGCCCCACCACTCCCACTACATTCAGAAGTTCAGAATCACAAGCTAAAAATAGAAAATGATCACAGAGGTTCATCGGACATCAGTCATCGTCAGTGTACTGTGAAGTGAAAAGTGTCCACTTTAAAAATATATATAAATAGTGATGACGAATTGCCCTATACGTTTGGTGACCTATTTACAATTGGTGGGGTCAAGGGGCCGATGTGGCTCCCTCCTGTGAATTCATTTGTGGGTATATTATTTTATTTTTGGAGTCTGTTGGGATAAATAGGACTATTTTCATAGCCTTCTTGATAGACAATTTTATTTATATTTCATCTGTATACAATGAGAGGGATTGGGGATGGGGGGCTGGAGAGGGGAGACTGGACTCACTGCCAAGGGCCAACTGGTGACACTCTATAGTGAAAGAGAGAACTCACTGGGGGGGGGGTCTTGTTGTGAGGGCCCTGAAGCCGAGCCTCTGAGGGGTGTGTAGTTTGAATATTCTTTTTGATTGAAAGTCTTTATGCGCCTCTAGTCATCGAATACAACAATAGTTAATACTGATCAGAGGCATCTCCCTTCAGCGCAAATAGCTAAACACATATAGCAATCATGGCTGACGCGTGCGAGTGTATCTGTGACCCGATCTTTCGTTTACTCCGAGCTATCCAGGCTCAATCGACGTACTGTGCGGATGCGGATTGCATTCAGGAAGGTCCTGAAGCTGGGGACAGTACCCGTGCATACATGAACACCGCCTTGGCTATCGCGGGTTGGGTTGCGGCGGCAGGAGTCATGTACTACGCGCGCCCTGCATCTCTCCGAGCGAATATGAACGCCGATGCTACGTTAGAGAAGGCAAATGCGAGTAATCCTACCAACAACCATAACGATAGAGATCAACCCCCTCCTCCGCCGTCGCTGTGAATTGTCGGTCCGCTTTGGGGGATGTTAGTATATTTTTTCCGACAAGTACGGTGTCATATCAGTGTGCATAGCTGTTTATAACTATAGGTGGAGTGTTTATGATACGAGAGCAGAACACAGCCACAAGAACTACACACGCCTAAGTTCAGATTCGAAACGCCGACCATGCACGGGACGCTATGAAAGTTAATCAACATACCTCCGTCTAAATGACCTACGATAAGGTGTAACGCCGAATCATAAATGTACATAGAACTATTTTGGGTCGAGTAAGAATTTCGCTCCACTTCTACACGCTCATAAGCTTGTACACTATTGTATATAGTTTATATGCTTGTGTGGCATTTGAATGTATACATACTTGCGTGGCGTATTCTTGAGCTGTATGCCCAGGGCAAGACGAGCACTTACAATCCAAGCTGATGGTATGGCAACTTGTCCGACTGATGTAATAACCATCACACGTAATGGAAGGTCCTTGCAACGGTGTGTATTTTTGGTTTGATGACGTTGCCGGTGCCCTATACTAGCGAACGGTCGTGACACACAACTGGAATGTGCAGTGGATGCGCTGTCCGCGTTATACGCGTGCACATGGTTATACGATACGGTTCCATTGAGAGAATGCGTGCTAGACTGGGGTTTGTTAGTCGGCTTTGAAATTGGTCTTCAAACTCGATGCAGCTCGATGGTTTGCGCTTGGCCGTTGTTGTGGTCAACGCAGGACCAAATTATCAAGTAACGCACGTCTGAGTACAGCACTGGAGATCAAATGCTCATAGCCGCTGGAGTATTTACGGATCCGGAAGTCAGGGAAATCGCTGCGTGACGAGAAGTGCTCGAAGAGCATGGAGGTCGTTTCAACAAAGGAGTTCAGGAGACTAATAACTTTATATATACATACATATATATAAATATATTGATGTAATCTCTTTGCAAATATAAAGCCATCATTCAGTCCAAACTCTGCGGATACCAGAACGATCGTAAACACATGAACCTAAGATTGTGCACAATCGTAGGTCTAAGTGTTCACGATTATTCTAGTGCTTTGTTGAAATTTATCTTTTATATGCTGATTGAGATCCGTACCATTTGTAGTGGTTCTAGTGTTATGTGGATGGAATATTCGATGTGCACACTCCTTGCGAAAATGTGTGCAGACGCAGATCAGACGTGTCTGTTGGGCACATTCCCATACCTGACAGACCACATGGTATAGGTAGGTGAGAGACACGAGAGCTCAGTATACTACGCCAATCGTCTCCTATACTGCAGGTACATAGTAGGGAATCCAAGCACAGTTTATCATTCCATATGGCGCCTATAAGCTCTGGGGCGAGTGTGATAAAGCGAGCACCAGTCGACTTTAAACCGAGCGTACATCGGTTTAGCTGTGCAACTAGGTTGATATCTGGGTTAATAAATAGTGTGCGCCTTTTACTCAGCTTGAGTAACGAAAGGATCATGCCTGAATGAGCAGACACAGGCTATCTCCCAAGGTATAGGCCAATTCCAGCCCGTGGAATGTGTGCGGTTGAATGTTTTCTCGTCTGTGCTCGTGCTATACCCATACAAGACTTCTAAATAGCTGCTGACCTCAGTCGGATCACGCTGAGAGTACACGAGGATGTGAACATTGATTGAGTGGGTGTGCACAATCGAAGATGTAGATGCGAACATTGAGTGGTTGTGCCTATAGGCAGATGACTTCTGTGAAGGTAGAGTAGCTGTGCACAATAAAGGTTGAGGATATGAATACTGAGCAGATAGAAGAGAAAAAAAATGATGATTATGTGATAGTGTGTATATATTTTAACATGTGTATGTACGTATGGATAGAGATATGTTCTGTTGGTATATGTGTGTATGTGTGTGATTGTTGGTTTATGGTATGCTGCAGCGTTCGCCATGCTCTGCACGACCAAAAAAGGATTTTATGTCTGTGTGTACACGGTGATCTTCTGCACACGTGTGATAGTTATTGCCATGTGTCCTTCTTTGTCATCCGTGTTTGTGTGCTAGTGGGGTTGTACGCCTGCTTACACGCTCGTATCCTGCATGCGGCTGGCTTGTTTCCGCAACTATGCCCGTGACAATTAAAAAATCTTTATATGAATTGGATCTTTGCCGCATATGTGCCTGTACGCGAGCCCGAATTATTACCTGGTATTCTGTGTGCACGAATTCTCTTACCGCACCTGCACCCGTGTAGGGACTCGAGTATATAGGATAAAGTAGAGTATACATCTCCCATAGTTGCAAGTCTACGTATACACCTCCTCAGTAGTAGTTGTAGTATCCAGAAAACCTCCTCTGCTGCAAGGCTGTGTGTAGGTCCCACTATTAGTGGTATCCATGCATTTCCCCATGTTTCACAAAAATAAGATACAGCATATGAACCCTTGCTTAAGGGTGGGGGTTATCACGGGAAAAATCAAACTTTTATTGCCTCACGTGCTTTAATTAGAGGCGGCTACAATTTCTTCCGTCTTAGCCCACAGTTTCTCGGCAGTGGCCATGTCCGAGCCATCCGCACGCTCGCCCTGGACATTACAATCTGCAAAGTACAGGCCACTTTTGTCCTGAATGTCATCGGAAGTTGCGAGATACGTCTGTGTAGCCGCACCCTCCGGGATGGTCTTGAGGAACAGCGGTCCGAAAAAGCCTGTCAACCCTCGCAGAATGGGGTTCATGTGCCTTGAAAGATTTGTATTGATGACCTGCAGTAGAAAAATGAGGCTCGATCAGGTGCTATACAACACATTCCGACGGCTTTACATAGCTACTGTTCGTTTCAAAGATACATGACTACCATGCGAGTCTGACTATACTATACTAAAGTGACATAAGACATGGCCTGTTTAACATACCCCCGGGTGGCACGAGTAGGCCGTCTTTTTGGTCCCCTCGAACTTATGTGCCAGAGACTTGGCCATGAGGAGGGGTGCCATTTTCGACTGTGATTGCAATCGAATATGGGAAGGACGTCAATGCGAATAAATCACGTGAGAGATCGCAGAGAAATAGCGCAATGCCAACCGAATTTACTGTTTGCGGGAGCCAAGCACACACACCGAAGTAGTGGCATAGTATGAGACATGCTCGGGGCATTTGTATACCAAATAACTTCAACTAGAAAGGATCTGTCCTATGTATGAATGCAAGCTGAAGAGGCAGAGGAATACCTACCTGACCATAAAAGGTCCAATCACTGTAACCTTTAGATCCATCCAGGTTATCGAATGCAATGCCTCCCTTCGGGGCTTGCTTGTGTGCTAGACTACTGAGTGTGATCACACGACCGTCATCAGTCAAACTGTCCAATAGTCCAGTTATCAGAATGAAGTGCCCTACATGATTGCAGAAGAACTGTTTCTCGTACCCGTGTTGAAGTTCTAGTTTGGGCAAAGCCATGATACCTTTGGGAAATGTTGGTCAATATAGGGGTTAGTACAGATCCAAGTATGTTGGGCAATATACGGTTTTAATAAGGATTTGAGTATGTTGGGCAATATAAGCGTTTAGTACAGATCCGAGGCATTAAGCACGCGTGCACGATACAGTCCAAACAAAATCATAGTAAAAAAGGATATAGTATCCGATAGAAGTATCTGACATTCAATCCAGCACCCAAAAACTGGCGAGCAAGAGGTGCTATCGTAACCATGGGAACAATCCAGTACACCTAAAGCACCTTCCGCTAGACTCCAAGCGCTACAGCGTCTTAAATCGTTAACAGCCCAAAACAGCCCGTTTTACAAGACAAGTATATGTACACAATACAACACCTACCTGCGTTTGCAATCACCGCGTCTATTTTCTTGCCGGTGGCTTTGATGTCCTTAACAGCCTGCTTGATTACTTCGGGCTCTCCCAACTCACACACCACAGGGATCTTGTCACCTGTTCCTGTCCACTCCTGCATGCCCTCCTTAGCCTTCTCCTCAGTGCGTGCTAGGCCAATCACATTAGCATTACGCAGAGCGAGCACCCGACTGGACGAGGAAGGGTACAATGTTGCTATTTATTATCACAGACAAGAGGTATATACACATTTTAGAAGTCGATGCGACTGTTGAGCAACGATATAGCGTACGCTTAATTTGTAAGTCGATGTTATTATACATCATGTATGTTTTTATAAACTTTTATGACCCTGAAGAATGGATGGCGGGATTTGACTACTACTCCACCAGCGTTGAAATATGTGCATTTGATTATAAGATATTTTAGCTATCCCCTAAGAGGTATACGCAATCACAACTAGTTGTTGGTTCAACCCATCGACAGTGACGCTTCAGAAGTACTTTTTAATATCTACTGACAATGAAATCGTCAAAGTCTTTGAAAGCTAATTTTACGATTAAGTCGACTATACTGTTTACTAACAAAGTACCATATACATCTTATAGTCGGATACTACTGTTCGTCTACCACACTCTTTATGAGTTCGTTTTACAAACCACCAACAATATGTATACATACTCTATAAGTTGATTTTGCGATCCACAATCAGTAAACTGTAAACGCTCAACGTCGATTTTATTATTCACTAACAATGAGGTATAGTCATCGTATAGCTGGATACTACTGTTCGTCTACCACACTCTTTATAAGTCCGTTTCACAAACCACTAACAATGTGTGTACACACTCTTTATCAGTTGATTTTCTATCCACCTACAATGGAGTATTCCCACTCTTTATGGGTCGACTTATAAGTCCACCAACAAAGAGTATACACCTGCTCTATAAAGCAATTCGAAATTCCATCGACTGCGGCGTATACGTAATTTTTAAAATTCGATCCGATTATCTACCAACAATAAAGTGTACACACTATACACACGTTATAGTCCTTGTAGTAAGAGGGGATAAGCCCCATTGTCTATTTGTCACTAAGATGGGTTCGCGAGGATAGGAATCCAATAAAACGGACTCGATAACTGTCACACAGAGAAATAAACAGATATACTAACGGTCCGGAAAGTAAAGCCTATATTGGTCTACATATAAGAAAGGTTTCCCCTTACAAACAGACAAACACTGCACAACAATAACATACGACTTACCCACATTCCTGACCAAGACCCGAATTGATACCAGTAATCACGTAAGTCTTTCCTGTAAGATCTTTGTCTTTGGTGACCTCTTCAGCGGTAGTATGATAGCCATAACCATTATCACCATTGGGCCACAATGCGAGCATTATGAAAGGATATAAATATTGCTATGTATACGTGTATGTTTATGTGTACGTATGCTACATTTATGATTACGTGATGAACACTTTTTATATATTTAGTATTTTATATTTTTAACCTACTTTTGTTTCATATATATATATTTAGAAGACTCTAGAAGGCTTTTGTTCTTGTGTTGAAATTCGAAAATGTCGAATAATCCCGGGCCCAGTGACAGTCATGATGGGGCCTATTTAAAAAATGTACGCCTGTATGTGGGAAACAAATATGTCCATAGGCATGAACTACGACATAAATGACAAAGTCACGATGGCCGGGGATAGTCATGATAATCATGATCATGATGGGCCTATTTAAAATGTATTTACCCATGATGTCTGACGATAAGACCAATTTAAATAAGTGTTAAAAAGTGTACTCACATACAGTTATACCACCTCTTTATACTGTCTACCTCTTTGTATGTCTAGTTTTCATTTGGGCTTCAGGCCCTTTTCCTGTGTGTTTTATTCACAACAGTTTTAGCCTTTAAGCTTGTAGTATCATCTAAGTGTACTATTTATTAATTTCTGATGCAAGACACTTCTAGTGGGGATCGCTGTTGATTGAAAAAAACCAACGTCAGGTGCACACAAGCGTGTTGGTTGCGACGTAATAAGCTTGCAATTTGTGGCGTGCACATTGGCGAAGGGTGTGGCTCAAAGGGTTACTGCTTGTCTGCAGATAAATGTCAGGCACCAGTTTATAGTGGTGATTATTTTTTCTACAAGGGCACGCCGACTAAGCTAAACAAAACAACACAAACTGCAGCGACCAAGCCAGACAGCACAACACAGACTCTACTGAATCGGACACGATGGAGGAACCAGGTAGGGTGAACCAGACCAAGATATGTCTACCTCTATATATGTCCATGGTTTTGTTACAAACGGGAACTGGTCATATAAAGAGGTGTACTGTAAGTACAAATAGTTGGCGACTGCGTAGACACTGAAGCATATTTCGAGTCCGTGCGGAGTGTGGGCGAGGTTATAATTCAAGTCGAAATCAGGCGGACTCTACGCTCCAAGCCCCTTTATAGAAGGCTTGGTCTAGTCAGTTGCCACAAACGTAAAGGTAACATGGCTTCTATATGTTGACAAGACGGCAGATTAAAATCCGTGTCACTTCACACCGTCGTAGATTGTTGGCACTCTCTGACAGTATTCAGCCTGTGTATGATAGTCTTTGCCGGTATCAAAATATGGTTTGGAAATCACATGGGTCGTTGCCTCCGGCTGCTGGGCTATATCGTCGTCTTTGTGTTCGTTACGAAAGTACACTTCTACTTCGTTGACCTGTTTCATACAAGTACCATCGACGACTCTTTAGATAAGCGGACGAGATACGCCGCAGCTGCTGAGCCCCATAGACTCATTATAATGATCTATGTTGGATCGATAATATTCGTCACGCTAGTGTTGGCAGGTATAGTATTGACCATAGGAAACTTTTGCGCATGCATCGCAGCTTTATGTAAACACTTTGTCAATGCTGGTTACCAATTTAATATTTTACACTATACCGGCGTATAAACCTCGGTGGACTGTGAATCTATGGAGCTTTTTACTATATGTCTACACATGAACATTCATAGTTTTATACATAGTTCTATACGTGTATATATACAAACAAGCATCTATTCGATCTGAACAACACT